AAACGAACTGAACCATCAGACACAGAGGCAGCTCCCCTCCTGCGACCACCTGCGGGGACGGTCTCCGACCAAAAACGTTGGCTCTTAAGGGATTCGTAAAGCTCGGCTCATTGGACTGCACCGTAAAAAGATCATCATGAAAAACCAACTGTTGCAGCTGATCTCAGAGCAGCTACAGACTTTTAAACAAACACGGCACTACTAAATTATTTGCACTAAATCTTGAATGTGTTTTTCTGAATTAAATGCTTGTTGAAATGGTTTTTAATCAGCTCAGATGTATTACAGACCCGCTAGGGAAGTTTAAAACGCATACAAAAAATAGAGAAATTGCATTTCCTGCGAAAATGCAGTGTGAATTATTATTGCAGAACTTGCTGAAAAACAGCTGAAATTAGCTAAAAAGACATGCTGAAATGTAGCTGAAATGGAAGAACAATCCTAAATTAGCAGAAGAAACAGAAATAACAGGTTTGCTGAATTTGGTTTAAATAAGCAGAAATATTTTTTTAATTGGGAAATTATCTAAAAAGAACTGAAATAAAAAATAAAAGTAGCTGAACAGTCAGAAATAACCTTTTAAACTACCAGTAGGATGCAGAAAAAGCTGAAATGAGCTAAACAAATGGAATTAGCTGGAAAAACTGAAATTAGCATAAAACAGCTGAATATCAGCTAAAAAAAAGTAGAAAAATCTAAAACTAGTAGAAATAAGCTGAAAGGAGCATAAAGAGCTCAAATTAGCAGAAAGAAGTTAATTAGGCTAAAACTAGCAGAAATTACCTAAAAACATTTGAATTTATGTGAAAACAGCTGAAATTAGCAAAACACAGCTGAAAAGTAGCTGAAAAAGCAGAAACCTCAAATTACCAGAATGAGGTGGAGAGCACATTTTTACTGAACTAGGCTGAAAAAAGTTGAAAATTTTGCAAAAAGTGTGGAATTAGCTGAAAAAGTTAAAATTAGCATAAAACAGCTAGATAGCTGAAATAGCAGAAGCTTGCATAAATAATCTGAAAAGAGCATAACAAGCTGAAATTAGCAGAAAAGGATTAGGACAAAAATGTTGTAATTGGCATAAAGAAACGAAAAGAGGAGCACAAAACAGCTGGAACAAAAGACAGCTGAAAGTAGCTGAAAAAAGTTTAAATTTGCACAAGGAAGCTGAACCCGAGCAAAATGTGAAAAGATCAGTAAAAGGTTGTAAATAGATCTAAAGATTTGAAGGATTTAAAATGAGATTAATTCATTGTATGAGAAAAAAAATGGCTGAAAAGCCTAAATATTTCAAAAAGCTAAAGTTGCACCAATACCAAAAGTCTTATCACCCTTCTCCTGAAAGAGCTGAACGTTTTGATGTGTGATTTTCTGAAATAGCACAAAAATTGTGGAACGAGAAAGATGCCGAAAAACATACGTAAAAAAAAAAAAAAAGGATCACAATGCTTCATAAACGTTCACACAGTAATAAATGCTTACTGAGCCCACATGATCGACAGGTCCCGACAGAGTCAGAACTATTTGCAAATACAAAACAAAACGGCCCTTGAAGGAAAAATCAGTTGTGCAACAACAGCTTCCTTACAAATGAAATGTCTTTATGAGAGTGAAGCAATTCCAAGGAATGACGGTACAGGGAAAGCAGGATGTCAGCGTTTATTGAAATCTTTTGGTTTGTGTTGCCCAGCACCTTTTTTTATTTACATTAGACATAAAGTGGAGGAAGGTGGGGACATGGGAGTACCGGGATCAGGTTCACTAAATTTGCAGTGAATCATCACTTTCTGACAAATCCTCATGACGCAGCTCTGATAACTCGGCTGATTTCATGCAGAAGTTTATTAGCTTTGCTGTGTGACGAAAAATAAACTGATGCTGTCACCAACTGAAGTGTGCTCTTTTTAAGAGGTAAATGTGCTGTTTCAGCTTGTCCTCTTTACAGATAATACTCTTTAAAAATAAAAAAAACATTTAGCTGTAACAGTTATTGTTTTATATTTCTGCACAATAATCTAATTCTGCATACTTTGTGCTATTTCAGCCATTCAAATGTCAAAACATTCCGCTCATTTAGGAGATGAGTATCATTACATTAGGTTATATTAGCTTTTTATTTTTTAAACTAACCTTTATTTACAAACATTTGCTTAATAAAAATATATATTGAAAATTTGTTTTCCTCTTTGCAATATCCACTTTATTTTTGTTTTCACATTCTATTTTTAGCTTTTGTAGCATGAAGGTGTGCACCTTTGACCTCTGACCTTTAGGTTGGCTTTTGCCTTGAATATGTGTTAATGTTAATAAATGACTTGATCTCATCACATCAAATAACTTCTCTCAACCATAATCCAAAGCAAACTATCAAATAGTTCAACTTTGGCTGTTTGTGCGTGTACAAAAAGCCAAAATAATTCCTGATCAAACAGTTATCTTTGCCCTAGACAAAAGATAATTAATCCTTGATTGATTAATTATTGTTTAGATTGTTCATTATTGTTGTTCAAACAAGTTACTTTCCAAATTATTATCGTTTATTTTTTGTATTGTTCAATTTGTTTATTGCTGTTGATTCGTCGTTGAATTATTTTTGTAATAAAACGTCAAAGACAATTTTGGTCTCCTCATTTGGATGAATATTCATGTTACGGTATAGAATTCTCTGTAATTAACGGATTCAGTGACCGAGTTTGGATTATTAAAGGGGGAATACATTAATACAGTTGTTGCTGGTCAGTAAACTGACCAGCTGCTTTACAGAGTGCAAAACAAATAATATAAGTCTAATAAAGTGAGGAGAGTCTTCGTCCATCACTCGTATACACTACTTTTATCTAGGCTTACTACTTTGAACTTTTAGCTAGTGTTCTGCTTCTTTTTACTTTGGCAGCTCAATTTCAGCTTCTTCAACAAAGTCCTTCAGCACCTAATCATTCACGAGGCGTTTTGGCAGCGAATGGCTCTCTGGTTAAAACGGATGTTTCTTCAGGGCTGATAATTATGAGACTCACGTAGGCATACCAAGAGAAATCTGAGGTGAGCCATGAGGCCTTTTATGCTTTGGTATAGCATGTTTTATGAATGATACTCTAGCTTATTAACAAGTCACTAAACGGGTTGCATTCTATTGTTTTGGTGGCTTTTTAGTGAGCGCCATCAGGACATATTCCACTGTCCAATTCATACTTGAGATACTTGGAGTATTTCCTATCATAAATTAAATACCTTTAAAAAAAAAAAAAAACAACCACACCATTTCAAATCCCAGTTACATGTATAAATACAGCTGCTGTCAGGAGTTTGCATACACCCTTCGCAGGTGAGCATGTCAGATTAATTAGGGGCTTTTAAGGATTTGTTTGAGCTGTTATTTTTTACCTTACACCTGACCCAGACCACTGACTCTAAACTTAACCCCCTTACCGTGAGCCTTAACCTAACTCTGACCCTAAACCTAACCCCCAGACCCTTGACTCTTAGTCTTAACCTAACCACATGACCATATTATCAACGATAAGAATGTACATGTAAACCTAGGATGTAGAGGAGGGGCAGTCTGAAAGTATGGGGATGATAACTAATAACGGCCATTTAATGGATAACATCCGAAGTGGGTGCTTTTTTCCAGGGTGAAAGGAATATACCACATAAAACTTCTATGAGTTTAAAAGGAAGTATTGGATGAACAATCTGAAGAGTATGACAGTTGTTCTTCTATATTATCTAATCTACTCTGTGCAATGCCAATACCAGTGCATAACAATCCCACTGCATGATGCTACCACTCCCATGCTTGACACTTAACACTGTTTAAAAGCCACTGAAAGACATAGTGCGTTCCACCTCATGTACCACATGCGATGTGAATGACAGTAAAGACACCTTGATCTTGACCTTGATTCATCTAAACATACTTCTTATTTTAGTCAAGCTGCCACAAAAACAAGTTGATGCTGACAAAGAGAAACTACCAGTTAATCATGTTCACAATGACAATATAAAAAGCTTCTCCCTTATCCAGTTAAAACAATTTAGATCGTTCAGACAAACACACTGAAGTAAATATTTGAGCCTGTATACTATTCAAACATCTAAAAGCCAAAAGTAATTCATTATTCATTCATGCCCAAATGAGTAAATTTCCTAAATTAATCTTCCCTCATTATGATAGAGAGATATATAGAGAGAGATATATAGAGAGAGATATATAGAGAGAGATATAGAGAGATATATAGAGAGATATATATAGAGATATATAGAGAGATATATAGATATATAGATATATAGATAGATAGATAGATAGATAGATAGATAGATAGATAGATAGATA